CAATCATGAATATATAAAAGACAAAGTCATCTTTCCAGTGTCATGTGTTCTGTTTATTAAATGATTTTCTTTGAATATTGTGGTTATGAAAGGGACATGTTATGTAAGATTCAGTAAATATATAGGTTGGGGTTTGTCTTTGGTACAGAAGGAGTAAATTTGGCTTTGTTAGTGAGTGAAAGAGAGTGGTAGACACATTTTGTAGGTATCCAAAATGGATATGAATACATGGTTTTATAACTCACAAGCTCAGAAAGGTAAAATTGTAACTTTTATCAATTCTGTTGAATTACATAACTTGTATTGATATTTTCACTGTGCAAAGCAACTTAACTGTAGTTCTAACTCAGTTAAATAGACTTACTCCAGAATTAAGAATATTTGTTTTTTTCCCAGCTGATAAGGTACTGTCCTAGGATGATAATTTGGTCTTAACGATACATGGGAAAGTCCAAAAACGGGGTTATCTGGATTATTATCCGATATCGTAAAAGTAAACACTTACAAATACTATATAGCATTATTCTTACAGTATCATTTGCGTATTACCGTTATGGCTCTGTCGGTAGATCGAAATTATTTGTAACTTAGAGTTTTGTTCTCATAGGTTCGAACCCCAAGTAGTGCCATTTTATAACCACAGGTTTTTCTTCTTGCTCTGTTTTTTTATCATTATAATTATTCATTTATTTTCGTTTTCCTTTTTGTTTTCTTCTTATGATATATATTTTATAGTATATATTTATTTTTTATTTCTATTCTTTTTTCTTTTTGTATTTTTTGATCACAGTGAAATAAAATATTCGATCTCATATTCATGTATGCATAAAACCGGTCAAACAATTGACTGTTCTGAGGTAAAAAAAAAATGTACCAGTAGTCGAACTTCTGTCTGTACGGATAAACTCATTACTGACACGGTTGCTCTACCTACTGCGCTAACAAGACATATGATAACATGTAGTTTTATTTTCATTTTTATAGATTGTGGCATTGATCTGCCTAACCTATTTTTCGCATTGTTATTGGTCTTTGTTATGTAAACAAAGGCTCAAGTTATCATCCTAGGACAGTAGGTACAAACTTTTACAGTAATGGCTTCGAAAATAAGCAAAACAGGTTGACTTATCTAAAGTGACTGGTAGTGTGCACCGTGAATAATTTTAGCTATAACGGTAAAAGGAAGTTTGTACCTACAGATTAGCTGGGAAAAACCCACTTTGCCAAATTCTGGATAACATCTATTAAAAGTTAGCAAATGATTCTACCTATGTAACCAGTGCAGACCAACATCAGCCAGCACTTGAGATCTTCCCTGCCATCTGATCATGGTCAGCAAGAGTTTGCTTTTCAGACAATGCATATTTTGAAATTTTCCCCACCCATGATTAATGTTTTTATTAAGATTGATGGACAAGTACATTTAGCTTTTAGGGTTAAATGAGTAAAGATATTATCAAGTGTTCAAATTAAGTAATTCAATCTAGCCGTAGGCTCTTACTATCTACAAAAATTACCTAGAAATATATGCAGACGTTTCTTTTATTCTGCTAAAGTAATACATGTAATAAGTAGAATTTTTGTATCCTGACTAGCTAATGTTTACAGTTTCACTGGGTTTTGAATATTTAATAATTGTATACAATGTATATTAATCAATATACTTAAATTAAAAAAAAAATGAAAACTTAACTTCTAAGTCAAGAACATAATCGTTGGTTAACCATTGGTCCATTTGCCTGCTGGCAGCAACTTAAATTTTATCAATGTGACCTGAGTGCAGGCCAACACCCACAGTCTGCCTGTCTATGCCATCTGATCACAGTGTACACTAGCTGTTTCTAAGACTATTCAGTCAGTCCATATTTTGAAATATAATCCTTAAAAAAAAATATTAATGGTTTTGTCCAGATTGAAAGATGCCATGTTATTTTAAGATATTTAGCATAGTATTTAGGGTTAATTCACTTAGTAAATCTCATTTCTTGTAGGGGTGTGGATCGTCGGATAAGTGACGATCCGATCCGAACCACGATTCAGCACTTACGATTCACAAATCGAACCACAAATCTTTTGTTATCAAGACACCCATAAAAACATGTACATTAGTTATAAAAACATGTTTATTTAAAAAAAACAATACTAAACATTAAACATATAAAATATAAACTAGGTTTATGTTTTTATTCTTTGGATGAGTATTTTTGTTTTGTTTTTTGAAACCAATTACTTCCTAGCTCAGCATCATGGTACATGGTCTTTAACCGGCAAATTGTATTTAGGTAAACTTCATATAATATTTACTCAAATCGTATTTTATCGATTTTAAAAGTGTGAGAAACAGTCAATTTATATAAAAAAGATTAGATCGCGATCCACGATCTCTGGGCTTACGAATATTCAAACTCGATTTTTCACTTTAATTCGTGATTATCCGAGTACTCGGATACTCGCCCCAGCCCTAATTTCTTGAATGATGAATTTGATAATAATGATGATATTGATATATCAGATGTTGTTGCCATAGTTACAAGTGATGTGTAGTACAATGCAATTAGAAATCTCTGTGAAACAACAGTCAACATGTCACCCACAGCCAAACATATAATGTTTATTTAATGGTATTGATGTTATTGTACATTTTGTAATTATATCTAATCACTTTTCATTGGACAATAGTGAGGTCTATAATTATAACCAACATTCACAGATGCTGCATTATTTTCACTTTGATAACTCATATTGAATGATAACTAATATTGTTTCCATACTAAAGTATACAGTATACTGTCTGTTAAAGTCAATAGTTAGTCTGTTAGAGCATCAGACTATAAATAGAGAAGTCCAGGTTAAATTCTTGGAAGGTGCAGGTCACTTTCATTGTGATTCAGATCATGAAATCCTTTCTTAGTACAGTCATTCCCACTGTACCTCAGATGTGGTATGTACAGAAATTAAACCAGATGTGATAACCAATATTGTGCAGAGCCTAAAATGTATGTCTTGACCATACACCCCTTAATATGTGTAATAGATTTGTCCTACTGTGCAATTAAGGGGTTTAAGTGTATTTGAACAGTCAACAATATGGTCATACTGATTATGGTGACAGTCATACTAAATAGTCCGACTATATTACTGGTACATTACAGGCAATTCATGTTAGTAAACTAAGGATGGGCCTATTTGTAGATATTTTCAATTTTATTGAGTACATTTATTATATAAAGTCATGTTAAAAACAGTTTACTTATATTTTCGTCATTTTAGTCACACATGAAATTGTTTAGATGTGATGTAATGATATTACCGACAAGCATTATAAAATTGTAGTTAATGTGTGTAAAATTGTATTTAAATGTGTGTTGTAAATAGAGAAATTATGTACAATTTGAATTTCATTGCTTCTATTTTTCTAATTAAGTAATGTCAAAAAATCAGTTTAAATGGCTAGGATAATATTTATTATACTCTTAAAAATTGGTTATATAAGTTAAGCTTTTGTATTTCAATACGAGTCATTATCATTGATATAGTAAGTAAGTAAGTAAGTAAGTAAGTAACGACTTTATTTTATGAGGCTAACACATTCAGTTTCCCGATCTTCCATGCGGGCCTCACCAGTAACAAAATTCTATTTATAGTTTTGATAAAGTGAGTATTTAGTGATGTGGTTATTAGTGTTGTGAATCATTTTTAGCTTGTTTGTGATTCTGTCATTTTAACTTTAAACAACTGTGTATTATATATGATGTTCATTTCTGAAAACCAGTAATTGTGGAAAGTTTAAACTCCATATAAGATTACAACAATTTCTGAAGAGTTCATAAATTGTTTATGTTCTTCTGACTAAATATAGAAACTGATTAATAATTTAGATTGATAATGGTAATAAAATATTGGACATGGTATGGTATGATCCCTGGGTTTAGAGCCAGACACCTTAACCACTATGCAACCACTCCCCTTGACAAGGTACTGTATAAGTTTGTAAATGCTGCACAACTCACAAGTCCAGGGATCAAAGGTTTGATCCTTTTTGTGGATGAAGTTCATCACATAAGGGTCTTTCAAATTCTATATTGAAAGATGCTGAGTGAACACAGATATTTGGAGGGTTGCAGTCATGAAGTCAGGTTAATAGCGAAAGAATCAAAGTTTATAAGACTGCATTGATGAGCAGTCAGTAAATATACATGTACATGACTGTATAATTATAACAATAATGATTAATATAATTATATGAATCCCATTTATAACATTTGTCTTGGATGAAATTCAAAATCTGGTAGAAAGAAAAGATATAAAAGACATGCAACATGGATTGTTAAGCTAATGGTATAATTTATCTATCCTTGTCACCTATTTTTCATAAAAAGTATCTGAAAAGATTAAACATGATATCAAAGATTTACCACCAATAGTAAATACGATAAAGTGACAATATAACCTTTTGAATATGTTCTAATAATAATAATAAACTAAAAACAAAAACAATCACTAAATGCTTTCATGCACATTCTTTGGTTTATAATCTTGACTATAGCTCTTGTAAGAGCACTTGGTTTGATACCAAAGGTTTCTTCATTTCCCTGTTGACAACTTATCTTTCTCTGCTTGTCCTTATATTTCTATACATGCCCATCTTTAGAAATTAATTCTGTTTTTGCCCTTTATTATACTGATTCAAGTTTTTTAAGTACAAAAATATAACAACCAAAAGTGTTACAGTTACAGAGTAGGCTGGTTCAATTTGTAACCCTCATATAATTATTTTAAGAGTTTTATTCAGGGATGAATTCTAGTCTGGTTGCCATAGTGATAGGAAGGACAGTTTTCAAAAATACCAGCAATTTAATATTATGATTATAGCCTACTTTACTTTGGTCAAATTTCTGTTGCATTTTTTTGTCACCATAATGATAAAAGAAAATATAAAAACTGTTGATTTTTGGGGGGAACAAACTTATTTTATTTTTTTAGACAAGGTTATGAATGACTTGTCCAAAACGAATTTCTTGTATCTTTTCAGACAAGGTTATGAATGACTTGTCCAAAACGAATTTCTTGTATCTACACTACACATTTAAAAGACAGCACAGCAAAGAGGCTATGTTACAAAAGAACAAGACGGCAGCAACACACATTCGTAGACCAATATCAGGGACGAGTTCGAGACCTCGACGATGTATGTCCGAAGGAGAGAGGATGTGCGAGGACGGTTCCTGTATAGCAAGAGTCGAACTATGTCGTGAGTATTTTGACATACTGTTATATTTCTTGTCAAAGTTGTTCTTGTTCAAAATCAAATGTTCAGATCTTTCCCTCACCCTGTTTTTCCAGAATAATCATCATTTTTTGTGTAAAACGACCCCAAAATTAAAAGGATTGTCATGCTTAGCTCTCAAATTGCAAAAAATTTAGATCTGAGTATATTTCTTTATTTTTTCATTTTAAGTGCTTCTGTCACTTGATCTATACAAGAATTTCAAATTTTATTATTTGCATATTTTTAAGCTTTTCTATATAATTTTTTTATACTTTTTTTTTTGTGAAGAGAAAATTAATTTTTTAAATGTGAGAATATATGGGTATATTTACATATGATAACACAAGCTCTGAAAAGCTTTTAAAAACCAACTCTTTAAATGCCAATTAAGTTTTCCTTTCTAATGTGTCCAGAAGACATTACTATAATGTGGTATACTCAGGAATTAAACATGATTGGGGATACTTTAACTGCATCTATTACTTAACCTTTTTCAGCTTTAAGCATTATTTGCTTTCATTGTATAGAAAGTAAATCATGACATATACTGACACTTAAGACATCCTTTAAACTGTATACATCATGAAACAACAGTCAGTCTAAGAAAAACAACCGATTCTAGATCTGCCTGGAAAATAATCTATTTTCCTTGTCCATTATCTGGATTCCCAGGGGAAATAGTTTTATACAGTTTTCTGTGCGTGACAGTAGTTATAGTGATGGGAAAATACAAATGAGCCGTGTCATGACAAAACCAACATAATGGGTTTGCGACCAGCATGGATCCAGACCAGCCTGCGCATCCGCGCAGTCTGATCAGGATCCATGCTGTTCGCTGTCAGTTTCTCCACTTGTAATAGAGTTGATAAGCGAACAGCATGGATCCTGATCAGACTGCGCGGACGCGCAGGCTGGTCTGGATCCATGCTGGTCGCAAACCCACTATGTTATTATGTCGTGACACGGCTCAAATGTACCCATCCCTTTAAAATCATGAGCCCGCCATTCTTTACTGATGTCAACTGGGACAATGTTGGTGATTAGTGAGATGGCTTGTCGTTTAGGTGCAGTTTTTGTACAGGTTCAGATTATATAAGATCTTAAAACATTTGATTTAAAGAAATGGCATTTACAGAAATGACAGACTGGTGTATTTAAATCTCTTAAAACATAAACATTTTATGTAAAGATATAATGTTGATATGGGGATAATTTTTTAAAAAAGAAAAAAGAACACTTGAGATTTCTATTTTAGTTTGATAAATGACTGGAGTTATCTCCCCCTGATAAATAATCCCCTCAGTTGGAGTAAATAGTTTACTGTTATGATGATAAAGGCCGAAGATCTGCAAGAATATTTATTAAATGTTTTGAAATGGAAAGTCTTGTTTTTAGCTCAACTGTTTGGAAAATATTTGGGAGATATTTTACTCAACATTGGTGTTGGCTGTGCAATCTGACCATCACACTTTCCTCAAGAAATTATGTGCAAGTTGGTATCCTCAAAGAGCCACTGAAGCTAGATTGAAACTCCAAATACATATTCTCTGTGATTTCATGTATCTATCGTGATGGGCACACATCCCATAACTCTGAGTTACCTTTTTACAGAGTTATGTCCCTTACTTTTTGTCATCCTGCATATCTGTGCGGTCTCACCTGGCTCATTATTGTTAGCTGACTAACATTTGAGCCGCGTCATGACAAAACCAACATGATGGGTTTACGACCAGCATGGATCCAGACCAGCCTGCGCATCCGCGCAGTCTGATCAGGATCCATGCTGTTCGCTTATCAACTCTATTACAAGTCGAGAAACTGACAGCGAACAGCATGGATCCTGATCAGACTGTGCGGATGCGCAGGCTGGTCTGGATCCATGCTGGTGGCAAACCCATTATGTTTGTTTTGTCGTGACGCGGCTCATTTTATCTTGATATCCTCTTATTTGAATAATTATTGAAATTTAGTTGCAAACTGCCCTTAAATCATTCTGCAAGGAGAAAAGAAATACATGTTCAAGGCCGTTGCTAGGCATTTAAAGTGGTGTATGTTATATAAAGTTTTATGGCAAGTCATACATGTATAAATGGTTACAAGCTGATATAACCCCGGCTGATACTAGAGAGAGATTATATATATTGCAAACAAGTCATTTTTTCACAGCCATATAACATTGCAGAACACTCATATAACAAACTTTAAGCATTGCACTCTTGATATCTTCGGCCTAAATACAAATTAACTCATGAATTTGCATGAGCTATGTAACTATGTAGATAACATAAAAATGAAAATCAACTTTTCTTAACGGCAGTAATATGATTTTTTCCCCCATACTATTATAATTGGTACATGCTGAAGGTATCAGTCAGTAATTGTATGATTCAGATATTTCAAAAAGTATGTTAATCTGTATTTTATGAAAATCATGACTTTTATAATTTCTCTAACATATTAGAATTGTTCAGATGTTTGTAATTAAGTGAATTATTTCTTGGCCTGCATCCTGTGTGATTATATTACTATAACTGTGCAATTTGTACAATACATTGTTTACTATTATATTACACCACAACACACTCTAACCATTTCCTATGTGACATGTTTAATAACTGTTACAATACACAATCACATAATCAGATACAATGTAAAATACAAAACCTTGGGTGAAAATAAAAACAGCTGTGAAAAAAACAAAATGAGCCAACATAATGGGTTTGCGACCAGCATGGATCCAGACCAGCCTATGTATCCGCGCAGTCTGATCAGGATCCATGCTGTTGGCTATCAGTTTCTCTTCTTGAAATAGAGTTGGTAAGCGGACAGCATGGATCCTGATCAGGATGCGCAGGCTGGTCTGGATCCATGCTGGTCGCAAACGCACTATGTTGGTTTTGTGGTGACGCGGCTCAAATAAACCTGAAAACGGTTGTAATTATGTTATTGAATTAAGAACAGCCTGAATTTGAGAAAAAAAGGTATTAATTTTAATTCACTGTTGGAATAAATCTGTGAATGAAGCTTTGCCTGTCAGCAAGCTTATATAATGAAGGTTTGTTCTATTTAGATACCTGTTAGGGCCTGATTAATTGCATTCATGAGCATCCTCTCTTCCCCTCCCCTAGCCCTGTCTTCCCCCCCCCCCCTCGCCCTGGCACCTGATGATATTTTCAAGTTTCTATAATCATATGTAAAAATGGAAAATCAAAAAAGGTAATTTTGAATCCCATTTCAAATTATAGCAATGATGGGGGCTTAATGTTTAAACAAAGCAAAAACTGGAAAAAATCTTGTTTTTTGCGTCTATAGGTGACTCATATCATTATTTGCATCAAATGTTTTTGGTTGACTCCTAAATGAAGCTAAAGTTGCACTGAAAATTGGACTTTTGAATTAATGAATTGATGATAGCAAAACTTGTCAACAATTTATTTGGATGAGCTGTAAGAGACCCACAGTTAATTTAAAGACCCATTAAGCCTCAGGAGTGAGTGTAAACGTTTCATTCATAAGAAAGTGTAGATTTGTTTTAAAAATGTTTTAATAAAAGATTAATTGTTAAGTAAGATGCTTATTGTCACCTGAAGAAAGTAGCTGTAGAAGACAAAAATTTGTCACAAAAGTACTAGTAAAATACAAAGTAGTATTTTGACTTTCATACAAATATATAGACATTTAAAGCTAAAGCATCAAATTATATCTCAGTTATATGGTCAGTTTGTAACTTTTTGGAAACTCTTCACATTTTAGACACCAAAAATAAAAAGCTATTGAGAAATGAAAATGATACCATTCCTGGTGCTGAATGGGCCTTTAAACTTTTCCCTATTTTATTGTGACAGTGACTTGACTGTAATCCAGTCTGACATCTAAGATCTAGGCCTTGACCTTGATAATGAACAGAAAATAACCGTTTATACAGAATAACATGATTGTCTGGGGGGGGATAAACTTTCTACGGGTATTTTAAATCATTGTCTCATTACCACATGACAAGTTGATAATGTAACTGTCAATGGAAAAATATGGAAATACATATATTCGTATATCATACATAATTTATATGTAATCATGATAAGTCACAAATATGTAATGATATGTTATTGTAAAATGAAACATGACAAAGTTACACTTCAATTTTATGATATACACGTAATATTACATGTATATACTAGCATAATTTTGAATCTCAGGAAATATCATGGAACTTTGATGATCAGATTTCTGTAAAAGCACTGTCAATAAAAAGGGAAGGAAAAATGAGCTGCGTCACGACGAAACCAACATAGTGGGTTTGCGACCAGCATGGATCCAGACCAGCCTGCACATCCGCGCAGTCTGATCAGGATCCATGCTGTTCGGTATCAGTTTCTCTACTTGTAATAGGGTTTGTAAGTGAACAGCATGGATCCTGATCAGACTGCGCGGATGCGCAGGCTGGTCTGGATCCATGCTGATCGCAAATCCATTATGTTGGTTTTGTCGTGACGCGGCTCAAATTATAAGAGACTGGTGCAACCATTATAATTACCTACTTATGATTACTCTGCCACTCAGCATTAAAGCAGCATGCCCATAGATGAGTAAATTATTAAAATTAAACCAAACTTAAAAAAAATATTTTTTAAGGGACATGTAAGAAATGCAAAAAATATGTTTACAATCCATTTAAAACTTGTTTATTTAGTCATCTGGATATATGCAACTTTCAGATGATAACTGAAGAGTCATTCTTTCTGATTTCTATGTAATATATACAGACTAGGTGGAATATCGTGTCAAATTGTGTGCAATATTGTGTAATATTTTAATGCAAAGCCGCTTGTGACTGAGGGGTTGGCTTTTAAGGGTTGAGGTATTTACCCACCATTTATCCTTGTGTAATTGCAAGAGGCAAATAAATAGGTTTGAATTACTGGAGTCTATGCATCTCTTACCTCCAGCAGGTGAGGTGTTTTTGAGCCTTGGTATTGGTTAAGTTTGTAACACCTGAGGTTAGCCAGAATCATATTTCCTGTTTCAGCGTCATATGACATTTAACTGTCTTGATGCGTCATAAAACCAAACAAAACAAACAAGCATATCCACACAGAAGCCAAAAAAGGCGGCAATATCACCTATTGAACAGAAAGAATGCCTAGCCTTAGAAGTCATGCACACTAAATTGACACTTATTGACAAAATTTGTTTTTCTAGATGCTCTCTGCACGTGTTACAAAGCATGTCACAGCTTGTTATTGTAATGTGATAATAATATATAACCAGTACTTGATAATCTGTTATAACATAGTAAATAATGTCTTTCTTTAAAGGGCAGAGTGTATATTATGACATGAATTCCAGTAGATCATGCTTTATCATAAATATTAGAAAGATGTTTTGTAAAATATTATAGATTATAAACAGTCTATTTATATGCTAATACATGACTAGATCTTCCTCGACCAGTAAAGCTGGAAAGTTACATTATGACCTCTACTGTGTTGGTGCAACATAAATTTTTTAGCAACCAAACAAAAAAAATATTATAAAAAAATACAATAGAAATACAAATATGAAGATCATGACATTGATTCCCTAAATGAGACAATTTGGACCTAATGAGCCACAAGTTCTCATTTTTCAGCATCCAGAACTAATTATCAACAAATAGAGACATTTATAAAGACATCTTTTACATTCTGTAATCATTCTTAAATAATAAATCCAATTATTATATATTAAGAAAATATATCATTAAATAACACTTATTATTAGCAATTAAAATAGAAGTAGTCAGTATATAACTTAAGATGATATCTGCTATTCAGTATTTACTCATCTATAAAACAGGCTAGTTGTTAAGACATAGTTTAAATTGGCAGTAATTTGATTTCTCTCTTGTAAGTACAGTGCTTTCCTAGTCAGGTAAGAAGATGTTCATATGTAAGATAACTTTGTTTATTATGAATTTAATCAAATACTGGTGATGATGTTTTACTAAGCATTTGTAGAATACCAATAGGAAATAAAAAAACCCAAGCTCTTTTAGGAAAATTTTAATATATTATCTACTGCAGAGGGGGAAATGAAATGTTTTACCATAAATTGTTGACCTTCAGTACAACATAGTTTTATACCTTTGATGGAAAATAATCTTACCGGTAATACAAAAAATGTATGTCATGTTTATGTAGCATTTTGAATGAACATGTTTCATTAATAAATGAAGGCTAGCATGACTTTGCTATATTTTTCAGCGGAAGAGCAGCTGATGAACCAGAATACAATACTGATCATGATCATTGTGGGGCTTGCAGTCGTTGTGTTCCTTGCTATACTCTACTGTTTCCAGAAACGACAACAACAAGCCAACAGACAATTAGGTAATAAAATATTTATAGTCTTGTTGTAACAATTCCCAACTTTTACGCTGTCGGAGCTGAAAGCTATAGAACTTTGCCTTCAGTAAAGTGCACTAAAATCTGTGCAGTCTGACCAGGCTCTAGACGGTGGGTGCTAAACTTTCAATCTATGTCCACTTTGCATTGCATGATACTTCTTGTATATCACAAAATACTTTTCCAACAACTTCAGAGATGAGGTTTCCCTCTTGGCAAGGTTAGCCATTATGTATTTGTATCATAGTTTGGGGACCTTTCTGTTGAAAATGTGTCAGAGTTAAATCGTATACATATACATGCACAGTGCGTTAACTGGAGTGCAGGTATTAGTTACCTGCACTCCAGAGCATGCCCATTGATTGACTAATTTTTGCTGGGGGTTACTTATTGTGGCGGAAGAGAAAGGGAAAAGCACAGAATATCATATTAAGATGCTCGTTTATTGGTTAATATTTCCCGGGGTTTCATATTGTGACAACAGGGTACGTGTTTTTATGTTTGACTATGATACAAAAGAGAAAGAACATCAAAACACTCGGCAATCTGATTAATACTCGGGGGCTATGCCCTCTCGTACAAATCAGATAGCCTCGTGTTTCGATGCTCTTTCTATTACTTGTCTTACATGGAACCAATGCAGCTGGTATAACCTGGGCCAGCCTCCATGTCTGTGCAGTCAGACCTAGTGTTTTACTGTTGGCAGACTAAGTTTTCAGTTTGATATCCAAAAATTGATAATGGACAGTTCTTTAAATGGGAAGTGTGAGGAGTTCATTTTAAGAAATTCAGCCGATTAACCCTTACCATTACCAATACCTTAAATGGACTTGTCCATCTATCATTCTGGACTAAACAATTTATCATTTTAGGGAAAATTAAAAAAAAATAATAATAACATACTAACTGAACACACCAGAATCAGAACACTTTGTTAGCTTCTTCCTGGTTACCATTTTGATATAAAATATCATTTGACATTTCCTTGTTTCTTATTTTAAAGTTCATATAATAAGCACTTTCCCCAATTTAATAGACATTTAAAAATAGACTTGTCTTATTACTTATTTAGCAATTAATTGGATATATTTAGGATGCAACAGTAATCATTCTTGTGCCCTAATAACTGTTTTCATAATTTTGGCTTTTAATTTATTTAAGTAAGAGTACTATATAAATGCTTACGTGACAAACTGACAGGAAAAGGAATCTGTATAGATTTGCATATATTTGTCGTAATTTCTGAGAGAGATTTTTTTTAAATAAGCAGAGAATAATAGTAACAGATTTTCTGTCTATAGATCTCACGTTACTATTCCCTTAATGTTTTTTTGCCTACAGATGGAAATCGTCTGCGGTAAAATTTCGTCTATACATTATTTAAGTCACATGTTTAAACGTGAGTGTATATTTTATTATGTATGGTGTTTGGTTAATTAAGCGAAAAATTGCATGTCACACGGCTTGAATTATTTAAGTTGTGTAGTTTCTACGTATACGATTTAAATATAATGTCACAGTGGGTTTCTTATTTTTAAAGCTCACTTAGAGCACAAGTGCTTAAGGTGAGCTTTTGTGATCACTCAGTGTAAATCTATTGTCTGTCTGTCTGTTGATCAACACATTACTTTTAAACAGATTTCTTCCCTATTAGTCACAGGGTCATTATCAATATCAGTCAATCTTTTTTTTGGAATTTTCCTTGGATAATTCTTCCTTTAAAAGATTCCAGTTCATGCAGAACTCTCATATTACCATGGCATTCAAAAAGAAAAACTTAAGATCTTTTGATAAAAACTTTTTATATGAAATTATTTCACAAAAATAATCCTGAGCTGGCCTGATTTAATAAGATTGTTATAATTATTTCATATCATGGCCGCTAGGAGGGTGTGGTTAATTTTTCCTATAGAAACCCTTTTCAATTTTAAGAGAAAGCTGTAAATCTTTTTAAAAATTGTTTGTTTAATTTTGATATTTTTGATGTAATTTCACCCTAGTTCAAGCTCACAAATGTTTTGATGTAGAAGTGATGCCTGTTTTATTTTTGTAAGATGTGTTCACAAAAATTGAGCAGCGTTGTGCAAGCATGGGATCCGACCAAAGCAATGCCCGCATATGCCGGCAGTTCCTGAAAAAAGGATCCATGTTTCGCCATCAGTTTTCTCTACTTTGCTTATAGGGTTTTTGGTAAGCGAAACAGCAATGGATCCTGAAATTCAGACCTGCGCGGATTGCGCAGGCTGTCTGGATCCTGCTGGGTTTCCAAAAACTCAATAAGTTTGGTTTTGGTCCCGTGACGCGGCTCAAAATGTTGTTATATATTTAGGTGGAACTCGGGAATGTTGATGAACTGTGATAATGGAATCTCTCTATGCTCCACCACCTGCATACGAGGAAGTTGTCAATAGTAACATGTATCCTGCCACACCAGAGCAAAGAAGAGTAAGAAAAAATTTAGAAGTTACCATCTGACATAATCTCTACCATTAACCTGCTAAATGTGTGTTACATATTTGCCCTGCTTTCGATTTGAAACTGTTCTTCTATTAACAGTTAAGATAGATACAAAAATTGAGCTACCAACAGTATAATAGAGCCTGGTCAGACTGCATGGATGTGCTGACTAGCCTGGCTCTATACTGGTTGCAAAAGCTTATGACTGTTGATTCCAGCAGGCAAATTGTAAATGACACTTACTAAATCAGATTTTTTTTTAGCTCACCTGTCACAAAGTGACAGGGTGAGATTTTGGGATCGCTTTTCGTCCGGCGTCCGTCCGTCCGGCGTCCGTAAACTTTTACTTCAAATGACATCTCCTCATAAACCACAAGGCCAATTTCATCCAAACTTCACAGGAATGTTCCTTTGGTGGTCACCTTTAAAAATTGTTCAAAGAATTTAATTCCATGCAGAACTCTGGTTGCCATGGCAACCGAAAGAAAAAAACTTTAAATATCTTCTTTAAAAAAATCCTAAGAGCTAGAGCTTAGATATTTGGCATGAATTATCTTCTAGTGAGTGTCTACCAAGTTTGTTCAAATAAAAGCCCTGGGGTCAAAATTGGCCCGGCCCCAGGGGGTCATTGATTTTCCCTATATGCATATAGTAAAAACTTAAAAAATCTTCTTTTAAAGATTCAAAAGAGCTAGAGCTAAGATATTTAGCATGAAACATGTCCTAATGAGTGTCTACCAAGTTTGTTCAAATAAAAGCCCGGGGGTCAAAATTGGCCCCGCCCAAGGGGGTCATTGATTTTCCCTATATGCATATAGTAAAATCTTAAAAAATCTTCTTTTAAAGAACTCAAAAGGCTAGAGCTAAGATATTTAGCATCAAACATTTTCTAATAGGTGTCTACCAAGTTTGTTCAAAAAAAAGCCCTGGGGTCAAAATTGGCCCCGCCCCGGGGGTCTTGATTTTCCTTATATGTGTATAGCAAAAACTTAAAATCTTCTTTGAAAAAACCCAAATAGCTAGAGTTTAGATATTAAGCATGAAACATCTTCTAGTAATTGTCTACAAAGTTTGTTCAAATAAAAGCCCTGGGGTCAAAACTGACCCCGCCCCAGGGGTGTCATTGTTTTTAACTATATGTTTATAGTAAAAACTTAAAAAAATCTTCTTTTAAAAGACCAATGAGCTAGAGCTTAGATGTTTAGCATGAAACATCTTCTTATGGGTGTGTGGGGGATGGGGCTATATACAGGTGAGCGACCTCTGGCCCTCTTGTCTAATTAATATATTGGGCTAGTTGGATATTGGGTATCTACCATTCATTTTTAAAACACATTTTCCTCAGAAAAGAATAAATTTCACTTCTTTAGAAAAAGGCAAACAGTTTTATAACATTTAAATAAAGGTTTTAGAGCAGGTTTCTTAAGAAAATAATGATGAATGAGAAATTATTTGCCATAAAAGTAGCAAAATGTGAACAAAGTAGTATTTTGACGTCCATACATATTAATACTTTATCACTATAAATGAGCCGCGTCACAACAAAAACTTTGTAGTGCGTTTGCGACCAGCATGGATCCAGACCAGCCTGTGCATCTGTGCAGCCTGATCAGGATCCATGATGTTCGCTTACAAACCCTATAACAAGTAGAGAAACTGATAGCGAACAGCATAGATCCTGATTAGACTGCACGGATGTCTGGATCCATGCTGGTTGCAAACCCATTATGTTGCTTTTGTCATGGCACGGCTCAAATGTACTAATTGCAAAAAATAAAGAAAAGTTTTCTGAGAAATTGGGCCTTTAATATTAAACAGTGCCTTATTTAGAACTACCTTAGCAATACAAATCTATTCATATCGAGCAAGCTACCATATTGACTGCTTGCTAAAGGAGATGTCTTGTTAGATTTTTGTGGTTCTCAAAATGTTATTATACACTTTATTATACAGTGAAAACACAATAAATGTACATGTAAATGTTATGAAATATATAAGGTGAGGTGCATTAATTATAAATATAACAGAATACAAATGTATATATATAATCAATATCACATATAAATAATAAATTATGATACATTTGTCATCAGAGGTTTCATCTACAGTGTGATGCAATTTTGATATCACATTCTTTCATATACAGGCTATTTCTAGCAGAGAGTGAAAAAAAAACATAACAAAAAAACATACTTTATAATCTCTTGAGACTATGTGTTACTTAAGGTAGTCTGAGCTTCATGTAGTTGTTAATACCTGGTTACAGAAGATTTTGTATTGTGTATATTAAAAGCTTGATAGAAATCTGTTCACTACAAGAATCTTGATTATGAAATAACAGTGTATTTGCCTGTGTATTTTTTTTTTGAAAAGCTAGACATGAACATCTATAATACATTGTAGATGGATGCGTATTTGTCATTTTAAGTGTTATATGATTTATAGAATTAATATCATTGATTCTGTACAAAGCATATTTATGATATATCAAGTAGTATTTCACTTTCCTACATGTTTTATTGATTTCAGTAAATTCTTTGCATAAAATTTTGATAGATTTTGTTAATAAATGTCCTAAGGAGGTTTTGATTGTTTTTTTGTTTTTGTTTTTTTTTTCCCTGCACACCTTTCTTTTGTCATCACTGCTATGAAATATGTCAATTAAATTAAAACAGTATAATCATAAGATGTATTCTAACGTCAGGACACTTGTTAATGTAAATTTCATTTCGTTTCAGTTACATCAATTATCATTGGAGGAGCCAAGAAGTCCTATGACTCCGCCCCCTAATTATGCATCAGCATTGATAATACTTGCCCAGAGCGAGGAATCTATCTCATCAAAACAACATTCACAGTCAGATCTTATCAGACGCAGTGTTTCAATGGACCAAATTCAGGGCTCCACTGCAGGAGTGCCAAAGGAATGCACTGAGTCGCTATGGAAACAGAAATATACAAAATCAAGAAATATATTCAGATTTAGTCGACAGTTTAGTAGAACTAGTGGTAATAGTAGCTTTCGGGCTAGTGAATCACCAAAAACTCCGCGATCTCCTCCGCCTTATCCACAGTCTCCATGTATTTATCCATTGACTCCTCCTCCACCATTAACACCACTCCCTAATGAAAATGAAGGCGGAGTTCAGGATACCGATGTCACAAATGTAGAGGTGGTCACATAGCGTAAATCAATGCAGTTAAAAATGTTTCACTACCAGGACTTTCACATGTACATGTTTTTGTATTTCTGTCAATCAGATTCAGAGAATATGTGTTATATGTGTCAAACGAGGAGATGAATTTCATAAAAGTTTGTCTTGTTTCAAGTTATGTGTAAAATCAAAGTGGCATTGGATCAATCTGATGTTAAGAGTTATAAAGATTTAAAACCATTGAAGTGCATTTAAGTTTTTAAGGAATATGATTGGATCACAAATATAACATAGGATGGAATGAATCATCATTCAATAATGGAAGAATTGTGATTGGTTAAAAATTATTTTCTAGTCGCAGTGGGAGGAGTTTGTTATGGTAATCATAGAGTTTTTGAATATTGATAGCATATTAGAAGGAGGAGTTTTGAATATTCATCATTGCAGGAGTTGTTTTGAATATTTAATTGAATATTTAATTGGCCATGGTCTGATTATTACAATGGTCTGTAATAAAGAGTCGTGAATATTCAGCATTGCAGAAGGAGTTGTTTTGAATATCTAATTTGCCAGGATCTGATAATTATGCAGATTTGTAATGTATAGCTTAAATGCAATATAGTTATCTTTAGATATTAGTGAAAAAGTGACAGTTTCGTGATCTTGAATAGTGGTTGAAATGATTCATTTAGTAAATTAGAATATTCATTGAAATTCATGAAGTATTTCTGTAAAATTTAATGCATCATGGTCAACTGTGATATTTTAGTCTTCTTTATATATCAAATATATCTAATATGTGTGTATAATGTATAAACAAATGGTATATTTTTGCATATATGATAATATAGTTATAATAGAGAACTTGAGAATGTTATATTTTAATTGGGGAAAAATGATTATATTTTAATTAGGTAGGTAAAATACATGCAATTGTTGTAGAGTGTTTAAATCTGACATATCATAAACTCTTAGCCTACTGAATTAGTTTAATGGATTGGACCATCTTTGAATTAGGAGCGGTCCATTCAAAATTTAAGGGATTTCAACACCAAAAAAGTAAACATTGAGCTACCAACAGTATAGAGCCTGGTCAGACTTCAGATATACAGGCTTACCTTGCTCTATAATGGTGGCAAATGATAATAAGGGTTAAAAAAACAATGTTTTATTTTAAGCAAAAAATAGGTATAGCATTCTTAGCGATTATATAAAACAGTCCATATTATTCTTTAATTATATATATCTGTATTAAAAATAAAAAGAAACCCAGTAAGTGGATATTTTTAATATCAATATTTTAATCTCTGATTTACATGTTAAAAAAGCCAGTTCCATGTATTTTCCAGACTTTATATTTTTATTTATTCTGATTTGAAAAATTAAGCCTGAGCATAACTTACTGATATTTTTTCATAAAAGTGCAATATTAATATATAAATATATATAATGTAGGATCTCACATGAGTTGCCATATGATATAAAAACTTTATTACTTAATTTCAAGAAAGCAAGCCTCTTACGATTTCTAAAACATGATTCCTTGGACGAGTTTAATAAAATATTATACAACAGCGGGATTCTTTTTATCATATGACTAAACATACTTAAGGATTACAGACCCTAATGGGCACCAATCCAATAAGAATCAGCTTTTCATTACTTCTATTCTTTACCAGAATAGTGTAAGACATTAAAATTTATTTTTCAAATATTAGAAAATTCCACCATCCAATTATTTTTTTTGCTCAGCTTAAGAGTTTCTTACTTGCCATAAAATAAAAATAGATAAATAAAATAAATCTTGTTTCAAAGGTCTACATGACTTGTGCCAGCATGTATTAAAAAAAATTATAATGTATTTTGCCATCTCCTCTACATGAACTTTTCTATTTGTAAATCTTGTAATTTCTTTCTTTCTTTTTTTGTTTCTTTTGAATATTTTTGATGGACCTTTTCATGTTAACATTAAAAAATTGAAACTTGATTTTTTTCTCTTCTATTCTTTGCTTTGTATATAAAAAGCATCTGAAGCATGGACTAAGTTACATTTTCATCTTTCTCAAAATAAAAGTGCAACATATTTCACAATGTCATATCCTCTATAATTAAATTCACATTTCTCTCATTGTAAATTCTTTGCTAATTTATATAATTATATTATTATATCAGATTTCAGTCTTAATTAATATTCATTTTTGCCTTCTGTGTTATAGAGGATACAAATGGCAATGATACTGCTATATTGATTTATAATTACTTTTTGAATGTTTGGGGCAGTAATGATTCGGTCGCCTATGCCAGACCATACTGCCGTCTCTGTTTAACACATAGCCCGCTGGCAGCATCTGAATGTAACAACAGACAAGTGCAGACCAAGATCACCGGGCACATCTATGATGTCTTATCATGGTCTGCGATGTTCCCTATTCAGTCAGTACCTAATCATTTTGAATTTTTTCCTGAATATGATCAATGGTTTTAGTCAAGATAGAAAGATGGACCAGTCTATTAATGATAAATAGGTTTGTAAGGGTTAATATTATCTTTTGATATATAAATCCCTAACTTTTACAATGGACAGTTCCAAATTCTAAGCAGGACAATTCCATTTTACAAATTTAGCATAGTAAGGATTAAAATAAGAGTTGATCATATAAGATTTTCTATTATAATTTTAAATTGTCTGAATAGTCTTTTGAAACTATGAATTTTTGTTATTTTGGTTACACTTTTGTTCCGAAAATTGAATATTGCTTAACCTTTGGCCAGCAGTTCAGTGTTGTTGACTGCAATTATTGCAGACCTAACAGGGCTCTAGCTAGTGGGCGATTCGGGCGAAATAGTCGCCGAATTCCGTCTGACTTCGCCGACATCCTACATGAAAGCGAAGATGAAGTCGCCCGATTTTATTGATCCATTATTGAAAATTACCAACAATAACTGTGAATAACATGTTGTGTGTGTTTGCTTTGTTTACCCTCGCCGCCGGAAAAAGGGACTGTCATGCATCTCAATCAACGCGAAATGTCATTAATCCGTTTGTTTACCAACATCAGAGACGTTAAAATACATGTATTTATATGTCTCTGCCAACATGTCATAAAAGTCTAATTAACAGACGCTCGAGGAACAATTAGACTCCGCCCACGGCGAGATTACCGATACGTGCGAGAAACCAATCGTAATTCACGTTTTAATTGAGGCGACATTATTTAACCAATCATTAAATCGCTAACATACAACTACCTGTAACAATTATTTACGATGGACGGATCAAACGTCAATTAAATTTTCACTATCGAATGATTGTCAGAATTAAGAGGACCGCTCGACATATAACTGTAACAGTAATTTTAAATGAAAGTTATGATAACCTTTTTTGTCGACGAGTTAAATTTGATAAAATTAACGGCGTATTACACTGTATTTATTACAAATGAAGTGAAATTAAAGATCGTTTCTTTCGTTATCTACTTTTATTTTCTTTACAACATAAGTGAATATGAATATAATGTCCGGCGCAAGCTTTTTAATAGTAAATCAGAAGGGAATAACTGTTAATCCACCCATGATATGATCCATGATAGGAATCAACTATGGCTTTTTTATCTTCATTTAATGCAATGGTTGCATTACATGATACTCATTCTTAATTATTACTTGTTTCAAACTACTTTTAAACAGAGACATAGATAACAATAGTTATAATAATAGCTATCTATGTCTCTGTTTTAAATTAAAATTGAATATTCTGTTGTAAACACAAATCCAATTCATTTAATAAGAATATGTACAGTGAGTCAACATAATTGCGATAAACATACAACAAAAACATCGATAAATGAATCTCCTCACTTCTCCCTAAAGTCTCCCCACTTCTCCCTAAATCAGCTGGAGGGAGAAGTGACTTCTCCCTAAATTTTGAACCTAGCTTGAGCCCTGCCTAAGATGTGCCGTCTGATCATATTTTTGTTTACTGTTACTTTGTATGTAATTTTCCCTAAAAGAGATTAATGGTTTCCTCCAAATTTAAAGATGGATGAGTCCATTTAAGATATTCATCGTGGTACAGGTTAAGACGGTGTAAGAGATGGTAAAAGAATCTTATACATGTACTTTTAATTGCTTGTTAACCACTTACTCATTCCCAATAAAGGTGAAGGTTTCCCAATAAAAAATCTTTTATGAAATACTGGAATATGCTGACAAATAAAAAAGTAAGGTAAATTTATATTGTCAACATTTATGATTATCAATATTTATTATGTTGCTGGGGAAAAAAAAGATTAAACCCCAGTGAGACTTATTAAAACGTCACATTTGAAAAATCATTGTTCCATAATTATGCCTGTTTAATCCACAGGAATTCTGCAATTATTTTATGACAATGTGTTGTTATCAGCGATTATTATGTGTTTATATAAAAAAGCAATTAATTTCGTGAGGCAGTTACATTTAATGCTATGTTTGTCAGGTAAAGGTCATCTTTTTATTGTAGTTTAAAGGGATATTACTCTCTTTGTTAAGTTTTAAAGGTTGGTACTTATAGGGATACTTATAGGGACATGCTTCTTGTGTTGTTTAAAAACATTCCAGTTGCTAAAAAAATAGGTTAAAGAACCTTCGTTCATTGTTAACAAACTAAATATATTTATTTTATAAACAATAACTACTTGAAATGCCTAATTATGTGTGGGGTGTGTAATATTTTTTATGATTCTGAAAATGGAGCTAATATTTGTAACTATGGTCTTCCATTCTTTTGCAGACTTGCTAACCATTGCTCATAGCACTCTCTAATATACCACTATTTTAGATGGTCAGTGAATACCTCACATGGACCTCTAGTCTTAAATGGGGATTCAGGTTGAGGCTAAACCTGGTTTTCTAACTTTTCCACATAAAATAGCCTTGTTTGTAGCTATTTGGCATTCTTCTGTGTTATTGATATTCATGTCATCACTTTGAAAACATACAAATTATTTAAAATTAGTTTATGAAAAGTGTACTTGGAAACCTTGAATTTCTTGAGAAATCCAAATCATAGGTCTGAAAGGGATTACTGTCTAGAATCACCTGCTCTTCATTTTGTTCTTGCACCTTACTTTTTGCATGCATTTCACTAGCTATTTGTTCTTCACTTGTTAATTTCTCCAAACAAGTTACTTGCCTGTCCTTCAACTGCCATTTCTTTCACATTTGTTACTTGCTCCCTTTTAGTCTTATTCTTTGCTCCTCATGTTTATTGCTCCACTTTTAATTCTTGCTCCTCATAATTATTGGTCCACACTTGTTTCTTGCTTCTCATAAGTTCATTACTCCTTACTTGTTTCTTACTCCGAACTGCTTTCATGCTCTTCACATGTTAATTGCCCCTCACTTGTTTCTTGCTCCTCACATGTTCATTACTCCTCACTTGTTTCCTGCTCCTCACAAGCTCATTGCTCCTTACTTGTTTCTTACTCTGAACTGCTTTCATGCTCTTCACATGTTAATTGCCCCTCACTTGTTTCTTGCTCCTGACATGTTCATTGCTTCTCAGTTGTTTCTTGCTCCTCACATTTTCATAGCTTCACACTTGTTTCTTGCTCCTCATAATTATTGCTTAACACTTGTTTCTTGTTTCTCATAAGTTCATTGCTCCACACTTGTTTCTTACTCCTCACATGTTCATTACTCCACACTTGTTTCTTACTCCTCACATGTCCATTACTCCTCACTTATTTCTTGCTCCTCACAAGTTCATTGCTCCTCACTTATTTCATGCTCCTTATATGTTCATTGCTCCTCACTTGTTTCATGCTCCTCACATGTCCATTACTCCTCACTTATTTCATGCTCCTTATATGTCCATTATTCCTCACTTGTTTCTTGCTCCTCACAAGTTCATTGCTCTTCACTTGTTTTTTGCTCCTCACCTGTTTTGTTCCTTACTTGTTAGATGCTCCTTAATTGTTCTTTGCGCCTATCTTTTTAATTGCTTTCTGCTCCTCACATGGTAATTGCTTCTCACTTTTCACTTTCTTCATTTTAGTATCTGCTCCTCAGTTGTAATGAATGAATCCTGCATTTGACTTGTTCATGCTTGGAAGACATTAAGGTTGATAAATGATGGCTTACAGAAAAAAAATATTGTTCAGACAAGGTGTCCATCCACACAAAGAAAATCAAGTTCTACCTTACAACATAAAAAAGTGAGGATATAAAGACAAAATTACACAACTAAAATGTTAGGAGAAATATTATACATTTATATTCTATGATTTATTATCATGAAGGCAGCTGTATTGAGAATAATTCAAGTATCCTTATCTAATTCAGTCAAGATTTATCAAGAAGCTGTGAAAATCAACACTTGTAAAATCTTTTAAGTATGAAATATAAATACTTGTTAAAGGTGCTAAAATTGTAGTTTAGCTAAATCTATGATATTAGAAGTTGTAAGTCTTCCTGGACGGCTTTGTTACATGAATTGTTTTAAGGAATTCCTTTCATCTGTAGCTTGTATGAATTAAAGTCTGTATCACTTTGAATTACGAGGAAAGCATTATATTGACAATGATTTTCAGTGCTGCTCATAGTCATTTAAATCATTTATTCAAGAACAATTTAAGTTATGGAAGGTGACCACATTTATCTGTTGCGGTGATGCCTTATGGCAAGAGTATAGAGTCAGGCCAGTAATGCATGGCCATAATTTTAGGCTGGCCAAACCTGTTTACTGCTAAATTTGATTACTTTTATAGCAAAAATATCTTTAAATAGTAATGGAAAGTTTCCAATTAAAATCAGTGCAATTCCATTAAACAAAATCAGATGTAATTATTTAGACTAAAATTGATATCTTCTTCTGTCCAAACTGAAGTTTTATATATAAAATGTTCAAAAAGTATTTATTCACGACAAAGCTGCTTTAATAATTCTTGACAAATATCGCTGTAGGGAACGGAATAAATTTGCCTGGCACATCTTTTGCATGTGCTATAAAAAAAATTCAGACAACTGTACAACATTATAAAATGTACCTACCGTATGTAATTGTTTGTTACTGGTCCTCTGATTTTCCCATTGAGGCATAAAAAAAATCTTATGTTCATTTTCAGGTCTCTGAATATCTAAATACAGGCATAGTTAGTGTTTGTTTATTGTCTCCTTTTGGTTTAACCATTTAGACATAAAAATGTAAATGTTGATTCGTTTTGGTCTTCAGATTGATTTAATTAAACTGTAAAGTAAAATGTACATGTTTCTGATTTTGCCAATTTAGGCATTAAAAATGTATTTCTTTTGTTTCAAATCCCCGGGATTGCCCATAAATTTATTCATTTAGGC